CGAAGAGGTGGGCCAGGCCGGCGTCGAGCGCAAAGTCGAACTCGCCCGTGACCATCACCACCACATGCGGGGCGGCCTGTTGCAGGTTCCTCGGGCTGAAGTCGCGCGAAGTGGCACGGACAGGAGCGTCCGCGCCTGGTCGGCCTGACGAGAAAAACGAGTGGTAGATTGGTTGGATCCCGAACCTGGCCTTCTTCAAGTAGAGGGTGACATTGGTAAGCGGTTGCTGCGCGAAGGCGTAGACCAGGGCAGCGGTGACCTCATCGTGGCAGCCTTCGCTCTCGAGCACGGCGACGGAGAGTGGGGGCGGGGGCGGGGGGTAGGGGCTGGGGAAGATAGCCAGGCGGGAATGACGGGAGCTAATTTGGTTTGAGGTGATGATGAAGACTATGACCACGGCTGCAGCGAGCAGCACCTTCAACCTCAATGGTCTAAACATCTGCTTGGTGTGTCAGTTCTCGAAGCGTTATTTCCTTTTAAATCTATTTGTGATTTCTTTCTTGCTTTCGTTTTTCTTTGTTCCTTTTTTGCTAGTTACCTATTTTCTTCCCGTTCTCCCAACGCTTCCGCTCGGGGAGCACCAGGCGCACTCGGTGCAGCGGGAGCCCAGCATAGCAGATGCTGACGTCAGCCACCTTGCTCCTTCGCCAGCGCTCGCAGACATCGCGTCAGCTGGCGCATCACCTGCACCTGCGTCTGCAGGGAGCCTGTTCGCCCACAGTCACACCACTGCAAGCCAGGAACAGGTACGTGGCGGCGTACCTGTAACCGCCACACCCCTTCCTCGGGCAAAGGTGGCGCGTGGCATAGCGCTCGCTGTCACACACACACACACACGGTGAGCTCAGCTGCTGAGGTGGGGGTGGTGAGGGGAGAGAGCAGCAGACCGTACGCCTCGTAGTTTGATGGATCGGTGCACGATGGGCATTGGCACCAAAAGAACCAGTTCTTCCATAGCTGTGAGCGACGCTCCTCCGTTGGTGCCTGTTGTGTGTGTGTGTTGTGTCAAAAGGCTTCTATAAATCGATGCCCCAAATAGAGAAGGCGAACCTTAGGATGGACGTAGCAGATGTTGATCTCGTCGCCCTCTGCGATATCGCACAGGGCCACCATGCGCTTGACGCCTAGGAGCTCCTTCGGACAGTTGTCGGCGCCTTGCTCTTCGTCTTCATCATCTTCATCAGCATTATCATCAGTGACGCTGATCAGCGCCGCGTTAGCCTGGCACGAGTGGTTGAACACCGCTACATCGGGGTACACCGCCACGCCGCACCGAACGCCGTCGTGCGTCATCTCGAACGCGTTGCACTGCATAAACAAACAGTGAGCAGCATGTGTGTGTGTGTGTGCCGAGCATGAGATCGTACCTGAATCTTGCAGAGCCATTGCACCATCTCCTCGGACGACGGTACGTGCTCCCACCAGGTCGACTGGCCCAGGTCCGGGTCCGGAATCGCTGCTGTGTTCTGCTGCTCCTTCTGGAGCGACCGGAACCCGGCGCTGACGTAGCTGGCGACGGACGCGAACTTGCGGTGGAGCTTGGGGTCGTTCTCGCGGATGGCCTCCTCGTTGGCCACCAGCGCCGCAAAGTCGGCGAACTCCACTCTGACCGAGGACGAGACGCTTTCGACGCCCCGGGCAGCAGCGCCGGCGCTGTCAAGTCCGTGGTGCTCGCGCAGCTTCAGGGCGATGACGTGGACCAGCAGTCGGGCGAGCGTGGCCTGCAGCTTGGTGAACCCAAGGGCGGGGCAATCGGCAGCAGTGTCGGTGTCGGTGGTGGCGTGGTCGGGTCGCGGCTGGTGGCGCAGCGCACGACTCCAGAACGCACACTCTGTGAAACGGTGCACAGAGCGCCAGTACGCACGACGGCACCTCGCCGAGCAGAACCAAAACTGGTTGCACCCCTCGCATCGCACCGCGTGCCTGTCACAGATCAGAATCGTCAATTCAAAATTGGGTCCGTGTGCACGCCCACACACACAGACGACACGCCCACACACACCACCGTACACGCAGGTGGGGAGTGGCATAAAGACGAATGGGGACGGTACGAGGGCGAGGTCGGTGGCGAGCTGACTGTGCGTCGGCAGTGGGCACACAGAAGCGGGCCGCGGCTGCTGTCGGCGTGGTCGGTTGCGGGCCAAGGGCCGGCGGATCGGTGGCTGGCAGCAGACACGGCAGCCCAGGCTCGGGTGGGCGGCATGACCACCTCGCCACGAGCTATGTCCTGCTGCGCCACCACATGCCTGCCTGCCCCCCCCCCGGTGAGGCTTCGTACTGCTATTGCTTACAACTTGAATTGATATAATAAGTGCGATTTGTAAATCAAATACGAGACAGCACGTACCAAGGAGTGGCGCAGAGCGCACCAGCCAAGCCGGACCGCTCATGGTGCTCTCATAACAAATAAAAGAAGAATACTAGCTTATAAATTGGATTTTCTTTTTCTTTTTCTTATTTACAGCGGCCCAGGTCGCGCGTGGCCTTCTACTTGGACGAGGAGCGGCGGAGGCGTCGTCTGCCGTTCTTCTTCCGGGCGGCGGGGAAGGCAGAAGCATCGACCTGCAGCGGCGACGAGGGGAAGAACGCCTCCTCGCCGCCCTGCTCCCGCTCATCCGTCGTGACTTGGACTTCCTCTTGTCTGCCTTCGCTCATGTCGCCATCATCGCCGCCGACCTGCTCCACGACGATCGTCGGCACACTAGTCACCTCGGATGCCTGGGTCCGCCCTTCAGCCTCTTCTCGTTGCCACCGCAGTCGCTCGTAGTAGTTCCCATCTTCATCGTAGGCGCCGTCGTGTTGGTCCCGATCGTCTTGTTCACGTTCACTCTCCTCCGATTCCACGACCGACGCTGTGGCGGTGGTGGTCGTCGTCCAGCCGGACGCGTCGAAGACCATCATCGACCCGTAGACCGAGTCCTCCGTGGGCCAGGCGTCTTCGTCGTCGAGGCCCACGGGTGCCGACGGGGCGAGATCGCAAAGATCTGCGCTGAAGCCTGCGAGACCGGCGAGTTCTTCACGAGGAAGCAGAAGATGCTCCTGCTGATCGCTGCTGTACACGGTCTTCTCGCTCTCGTTCTCCTCCGCTCGGGCGCCGTAACGGGGGCTCTCCGATTCATCTTCGTACTTCACTCGGCCGCTCTCCGCAGCCGTTTCGTCGTCCGCTTCCTCCATCTTCTCGGCCTTGATCGTGTGAAGCCCGGCTATGACTCTGGGCATCTCTGTGCGCGGTAAGCGTGTCAGATCCGCGCGACACGACACGACACCACAGACACGACACGACCAACGACACGACAGCTAGACTGCACACGACACGCAGCAGCAGCGCGGAAGAGCAGGCCACGGTACCGTGGTTGATGAAGACGCGGACGATGCGGCCGAGGAGCGGGTTGTGGCAGAGCGCGTCCCATTCGGGCTGCGAGGAGAGGATGCACAGGTCGCCGCTCTCG